CCCCCTGATAATATTTTTTATCTTGCCTTGCTTGGTGTTATGAGGTCAAATGAGGCAGTATATGAATTTTATATAACAGAAATTGCTATAAAGGAAATACAAGGGTACTCATTTCTGTTCTTTCATGTAAAATTAGTGGGAGAAAAAGAAAATCCAGTTCAGTTTAAGACTGAATCAGTAAGTTTTCTTTCTGTGCAGTGACCCTTATGAAGCTATCTTTGTTCTAAATCAGCATAACTTTGACTGTGACTCCCATGTTGTCTAAACCCAGGCATCAAACCAAGAGATAAAAACCTATACTGAGCTAAGATTGATTATTTTATAAAAGAACTCATAATCCTGTTATAAAGAATCAACTTGTCAAAACAGGCCTTTTTGTTGTGAGAGAAAGAAAAGTTTATTCCAGTTAACAGGGACTAAAATCAGGAGATTCTAGCAGCTAGCTGGGAAAAGCCATCCATGAATGGATGGGCTGACATTGGGAGAGAGAGAGCAGCTAGCTGGGAGATATTTCATCCTTGAGTGGATGGGGTCACACTAGGAGAGAGAGATATTAGCAACTAACTGGGGAAAGAATTAGGCTTATGTAGGTATTGAAGGGGCTAAGGAATCTGGGATAAAATGTTTATGACTTGGATGCCCAAGGGTGGCCTGCTCAGGTGTGTAGACAGTTACTGGACTTTTTGGCACCAGGGGGGCTGTATACTTTGTTTTGAGTTCATTTGGCCTATTTACTGAGAAGCTGCTGCTGTTTGCTGAAAGCAGCCTGTTTGCTTTGTTCTGTTTGTTTAGGCCAGGCCTGACAAATTCATACTGCAAAAACAGGTGACTGGTAAAAAAACAGGAGCCTAAGGACTAGGTATGTATATATATTTTGGCTAAGAACCTGGGCATGGTGGCACACACCTGTGATCCCAGCACTGCAGGATACTGAGGCAGGAGGATTGTAAGTTTGAGCTCAGCTTAGGTACCTTAGAGGGACCCTTTCTCAAAATTAAAAATTAAAAAAGGGCTGGAGATGTAGCTCAGTGCACGGGTCATGGGTTCAATCCCCAGTACCCTCCTCCAAAAAGGCTAATAATGCCTGCTTTATAGTAGTGAAGATTATTGAACCGTATCTAAAATGTCTGATATATAGTGCCTGATATGTAGGTCATTAGTAAGTAGAAGCTGTTATCATTGTTATTTTTTTTTTTGTATTAAATTCTTTTATTGGTACATTGTAGGTATACAACACAATTACATTTCTCATTGGGGTCATTGTTATTTTTAACCAAGCACATTAGCTATAATTTTGCTTTGCTTGTCAGAAAATATCAAAAACAAAAATCAGTCCTGAAAAACAATGAGTACCTTAGTAGATATATTTTTAGTCTTTCTAATTATCATTCATTCTCTTCTTTTTGGATATATGGATTGCTTCCAGATTTTTGCTATTAAAATTTTCCTTCCATGAGTATCCTGGTATGTGTATAAATCTTCATTTGTACTCTTAATTTTCCTCATAGAGTAGATGTCTATTAATAGGTGCTCTAATTGCTCCTTAATGGCCATTTCCTGAGGGTACAGGTACCTGTGTGTCTCTTAACCATTTAAGGAAGGAGGTTAGTTATGTGAGTCTTTTCTTTCTCTGCCAAATGTACTTTGTTCAAAACTTTAAAATTTAAAAGGAAAAGAGATTGTAATTGTCAATACTATCTTGCAATTTTATTTTATTTTTTTGTGGTACTGGAGATCGAACTCAGGACCTTGTGCTTTCAAGGCAGGAGAGGTGTGCCACTGAGCTACATCCCCGGCCCACTATCTTGCAAATTTATATGTATGTCCCTCTTTCTTATACATATGAACCTCCTTGCTCCCTTCCCTCTAAATGGTTATTTTCCTTAAACATGGTGAAAGGAAAAGTAATAAAATATCAAGATTCCAGTAAATCTTGTGTTCCCATTAGGTTGTTCTATTTTTCCTGTTTATTTATTTGAGACAGTGTCTTGCTATGTAGTTCAGGCTGCTCTTGAACTCATTATGTAGACTAGGCTGGCCCTTGAACTTGTGGTGACCTTCTTGCCTCAGCCTCTGGAGTGTTGGGATTACAGGTGTGTGCCACCACGCCTGGCTGTATGTCTTATTTTTCTAAGCTGTACAAAACAAAATTGATTCCGTATTCATCTTTTTCTTCTTTTAGAAAAATTCACCCTTTTGAGTAGTTGAATTTTATTTCCAAACTGTTAGCCTTCGTTTTCTAGGATATAGTTTCTATTGATTATTGTCAGGTACTACATATATCTAGTAGGTCAAACTTATATTAATATTTTCTTGATGTTTCAATTTTTTTCTTTTGTTTGTTGTCTTAAAGGTTCTAGTGCTGAGCTGCACTACAGCCCTTTTTTATTTTGTGTTGAGACAATCTTGCTGAGTTGCCCATGTTGGCCTCAAACTTGCTGTCTTCCTGCCTCAGCAAACCCAGTAGCTGGGATAGGCTGTACCACCAAGCCTGACTGTAACATTCTTTAATAATGCTTTTTCCCTTTAAGTTGAGTTTATTAGTACAGCTAATATTAGTAATATTAGTACAGCTTTTTTTTTTTTCTGGTACCAGGGATCAAACTCAGGACCTTGTGCTTGCAAGGCGGGTGTGTTGCCATTGAGCTAAATCCCCAGCCCCACTACCTCATCTTTCTAATGGTTAATATTTGCTGGATGTCATCCTTTTTCTTTAAAAAAATTTACTTAGGTAAAATTCATGTAAGATTTTTAGTTATGTGTGTGTCCTTAATTTCTAAACC